AAGCAGTTTCCCAGAGCTACTACCATTAGAGAATAAACAAGCTCAAGGGGAGCAGCAGCCCCAAATGCAAAAAGGATTCGAGAGCACTTTTGCATTTAGTCCAGAAGAAGACAGATTATAAACTGCATGAATTCTAACCCACTAGTGGTATGTGGGGAGTAAAATGCATGTTTTTTCCAAGTGGCTTTTTTTTTATTTGAATCAATTTGATGTAATACCATGTCACCCACTCAGCACAGGTGACAGCAGAACTGCATGATTTAAATTCTATAAGATAACTTGCTTATAAGTGCCTTACTTCATATTCTGCCACAAGAAGACACATGAACAAAATACTGCTTTATTTAGAAATCTTGATCAAATTATTTGAAAAAAAGCTTTAAACTAGTTTTTTACTTTAAAGTCAGTACGTCACTATTTCATGGATCTTATGACTAATTCAGAGGCAATAAAACTAGCCTTTTAATTATCCTTAACTACTGGTATTATTAAATAATTTTACTTAATTACATTGGGTTTGGGCCAGACTTTAGGCAGAACCTATAGTGATTTCAAATGCGGTTCTGCCTGAAGGACTACTGCATAAAGCCTTTAATTTTCAAAGTGCTTTACAAACATTAATATTCACAAAACTGCATTCTTTGACACAGGAGTAGTGCTGATATCCTCCTTTTATGGATGAGGAAACTGAGGAAAATAAATGACACACTGGATTTTTAACTTGGTCAGAGGACCAGTCTCAGGTACCTCTCTCCTATCCTACATCTTTCAATGGGGTCTTTGTTCCACAAAGAAAACTTACAAAAGAATCAACTGCAAAACTAGAACAGGTTTATTAACAGTCAGCTGAGTTTGAGTTTACCTATACCTAATTAAATTTAACAAGGTCAGTATTAAAACAAAACACTATGGACTCCCAGATACAAGTAAACAAGGGATCAGATACAAAACAGGCACAGTGCCAGCACAGTGCAAACCTACAGCTCCCGTGCAGCACAGCCACAGTACACATGGGCTCCAGCCCCAGAGCTTGGCAGGGCAGCACAAGTTCCACTGCCCTGGGAATCTGGCAGCGCAGGCTCTTGCCAGCCCCAAGAATCCAGTGGTAACTGGGCACCATGACTCTTGCCACTCTGGCCAGCTCTTGAGACCTAGGGGCCGGACAGCACAGTCCCTACTGCCCCAGTGATTCAGTGGCCAGGCAGTGTGTTGGCTGCACTCCCAGCCCTGAGCGCCCCCCACATCCCCTGCCCTGAGATATCCTCCCATTGCCCTTCTCTTGAGACCCCCACACACCCAACCTGCCCTGATTCCTATACTCCACACACCCTGCCCTGAGCCCCCCCACACTCCATCCACTCTTACAACAGTCCCTGTAAGAAATTACACCCCGTACCCTGTGTCCTGAGTCCCGCTTTGGGGCTGTGTCTAGACTGGCCAGTTTTTCTGGAAAATCAGCCGCTTTTCCAGAAAAACTTGCCAGCTGTCTACACTGGCCGCTTGAATTTTCGCAAAAGCACTGACTTCCTACTGTAAGAAATCAGTGCTTTTTGTGGAAATACTATGCTGCTCCTGTTCAGGCAAAAGTCCCTTTTGCGCAAAAGGGCCAGTGTAGACAGCTGAGATTTGTTTTCCGCAAAAAAGCCCCGATTGCGAAAATGGTGATCGGGGCTTTTTTGCAGAAAAGCGCGTCTAGATTGGCCACGGACGCTTTTCCGCTAAAAGTGCTTTCGCAGAAAAGCATCTGTGCCAATCTAGATGCTCTGTTCCGAAAATGCTTTTAATGGAAAACTTTTCCGTTAAAAGCATTTCTGGAAAATCATGCCAGTCTAGACGTAGACTGGGAGAGGGTGCAATACATTCCTTACAGGTACTGTTGTAAGTTACCTTCACTCTTGATTTAAAGGGAATCTCTAAGATGACATAGGTGAAAACAGTGGCAAAATAAAAATATTCCCCTACAATACCACAGAGCGCCCTCATGAGAGCAGAGATTAGAACTCTGGAGCTCCTATTTGTCAGTTCTCAAAAGTCACTTTTTGATTTAGAGTTAGACTCCAATCCTGCAAACACTTATTTGGGTGCTTAACTGTATGCACTGAGAGTAAAGTAATTGTATTGATTTTAGTTGCGTTTCTGACCCTGTAAAGATAGAAGCATAGGTTTAATATTTGCTGTATCGGGGCCCTGTAGATTGGAGCTTTTGGATGCACCAGGAAGTTTAGGAATGTTTACATATGATCATAGGTTAAGGACTTGGACCAATTTTAATTGATCTCTATAATGTTTTTTCTTTAAGAGTTCTTCACTGATATTACAAGAACTAGGGAGGAACTCACTGAAATGAACCAGAAGCAAATCAGAGCTCATTTGATCTCAGTTTAACTTGTCTATATTACTTACTTAAAACAAACTGATGCAAAAGAACTCAATACTTTTAATGATGATTTGAAAAGATTTGATATATAATATATGTAGAAACAAAAGCTGAGGCACGTCTTTTGTAATTACTTACTTTGATTTAAAATATACTCTAGGGGACTAGAAATTAAATCAGTTTCCTTCTTTAATTTTGTTTTGTCCTCATCTTGTGTAAATATTGCTTTGCTTCTCAATGCACTGTTGACAAAAGCATTCAAGTGGGCACCTCCAACTGCTAAATAATTTCACCATGAAGAAAGTTAAAAATGTGTACAGTAGCCTATTTGCATAATAAAACATCTGTATGCTTTAGTAATATGTTTAGTGTTCTTGCTGACCTAGAAAAAAGCAATTCTTACCCAGTGCAAATGCAAAGAAGCTTGTTAATTCTGGGGACAAAAGCTATATGAATGAATTTTCCTTCTTAATACAAGTGCTAAACTAGTGCCCGTCTTTTTTTTTTAAGTAGTCACTAAACATTGTTTGGGATGAAACAAAATGTAGACCTTGGTCACTAATTGCTTGTAACAACGAGTAGAATATTCAGACATCACACATCATATATATATATATATAGTAGCCCAATGTCTGTGACTAACGCTGTAGTGTTATGAGTCACCTCTGGGGGTGCTGTTGCCTCTTGCCGTGGCACTCATCTGAGTCATCTCCTGTGAGCTGGGGGTCCCACCCAGCAGTCATGCACAACCTGGAATTCAGGATGCATCTAAGGTAGAACATGCTTCTCAGGCCAGCAGAGCCAATAATAAAGCATGTGCGGGGAAACTGACTACACACACCTCACACCAGCTCTGCTGTAAGGGCAGTGCCTTCAGGCAGCATGCCTATGCAGAGCTGCCTGGATATGCCTCCACCTAGGAGCTAGACATGCCACCTGCTTTTGGGAGCAGCACAGAGACAGGACAGGTAGGGAGTCTGCCTTAGCTCTGCTAACCCAGTCAGTCAGAGCCCACACTCTGAATCCCCTACCCCAGGTTGGAACTCTCTCCCAGAGCCTGCACCCCACTCCTGCCCCCCAATCACATGTCCCAGCCCAGTGCCCCTTCCACACTAAATCCCTTTCTCCAAATCCCAGAGGCCCTTGGAGCACACTGAACCCCTCATTTCTGTCCCACCCTAGAACTCGCACCCCCAGCTGGAGCCTTCCCCCTACCACCTCTCAATCTCTTGCCACAACCAATGAGGGGAAAATTAGGGGAGAAGGGAGCAATCAACAGAGGAGGAAGGGCCAGAACGAGGTGGGGGGGGGGGTTTCTTGTAGAAGGGTGTTTGGTTTTGTGTAATTAGAAAGTTGGGAGCCCTTCCTCCAGGCCTACCATTGGTGGCAAGTATAATGAAACTGCTTGCTGGGCCCAAAGCATTCATTAACCTCTGCTGTACTGGCAGTTTCTTCCCTTCCTCATAAAGTGGCTATTAGGCCTATAGATTGACAATCGCTCCAGGGCATTTGATCTCTTGGGTTAAAGACATTACCATCATGATTTTAATATTGTTTGATGGATCACTTACCTCTTGCATCCTAGTGGATAGGTGCAATCTTTTCTTGGCCCTGGTGACTTGTGCAGGGTACAAGTTAACTTTGGTGGGCCTTCCATTGCTTAGTCCTCCTATCATTTGGAGGGTTGTTTGCCTTAGTTTAAAATTCAGAGGAGTCAGATTCTGAACTCGGGGTTTTCCCTTTGAGCACTGCATGATTTGTGAAATATACAAGATGGATTTTTAGGTAGTGCACAAGTAGCAAAACGTAGCAGTTCAGCCTTTTCTGAATTTCATTATTTGCCTTTGTAGGGATCTTTCAGGAATCCTGTCTATTTTTAGGATCATCTTTCTCACATCTAGCTGTAAAACAGATTACGCTGTACCTTCCAGGAAAGTAATTAATCCAGGAGTTTTTTTTTAATATGCTGTAGTCCTCAGAACCTGAAGGTTTCTCTGGATTACCTGATTTCCAAGGCAGTGATCTTGAATCACTGTTCTTTAAATAGTCTCAAGTATATGGTTACCAACTTTGCAACATGCTGTTCCCTTGGCTTCATTCTGATGGCCAAGTGTTATGTTCTTACATGACTTCCAGTGTCTTTCAGTTCAGTGACTATCTTTGTTTTCCATCGAAGTGAACATTCTTTTGATGACTTAGAAATAATTAACACCAGTGTGTGTTGAGTCAAACTTTCATCAGAATTAAGAGGAAAGAAAACTTAGGGCACATTAAAGTGGGGTAGCCTCAGGGTGATGCTCTTGAAGCACAGTTGGAAAAAGTCTAACTGGATTTTGTTTTACCATCTTGTCCCTGCATGAGGATTAAACCCTGTTCTTGCCCAATGTTTTTTCTAGTTGTAGAAATATTGCCAGTTTTTTAAAATTAGGTATAAAAGGGTTAACTTTAAATATGTAGCAATTGTGTTGAAACATGGTCTCAGATTATGATGAGGCTCCTCTTTTGTACATTCTTCTGTAATTTTAATCCTGCTTATTGCAGTATTTACATTGTATTTCCTGCAAATCATGCTGAATAAACAATGGGGCATTTAATATGTTACTGTTTATTGGATGCATGGCAGTAAAAAGCCATAGGACTCTACTGGAAATGTATTGAGTAGGATATTAAGAGTGAGATTGATGTGAACTACTATTTGACTAATATGGTTTTTACACTGAGTGCTGCAGAATTATAATGCAAACTATTTTAATGCACTCTATTTTAAAGTGGAAAAGCAATTAAACAAGTTGAGGCCCAAGCTTCAACCATCAGTTCTGTGTTGGTCCCTGATTTTGCTCTTTGATTCATGATGGGCTGTATCTGAAACTGCAAGTTTTGGGCTTGCAAGCCTTTAGTTAAGCCAAGCCTATTCATTAAACATGCACTAGTCAGTGATACTCAGACTTTGGCTCTTGAGCTGAAGTGTCACTTTCAGCTCATTGCAGCTTATTAAAATACTGTGTGATTAGTTAATTAAATCAGGATGCATTTACTATGTTATTACCCAATTTAGTTGATAAAATACTTGTATATTAATCTTACAGCTAAATGACTGACCATCAGTTTTGCAACACTATTTTTTTACATTTCTTCTGTCATACGGTTTTAAATATGACTATATAGTAGTAAATGAAACATCGAATTCATACTACAGTGGCTCTTTGGGTAATGTTGATTGCTAATTTGGTTCCTGAACTAATGAGGTCTGAGTATCATTGCTGTAGGCTGGCTAAAAGGAATTAGAATGTGTACCTATAAAATTCAAAGAATCTCAGATTTCTATTTTAGATTAAAGCTGTTGACTTGCATTAGCTCAAATGTTTGTAATTGGGCCTAATTTACTCTAATTCATAGCTCAATTATGAAAAGTGGATGACATTTCAAACTTTCATAACCTGTAACAAATGCTGATAGGAAATGGGGCAGAAGGCAAACAGACTGAACTAGTCCAAATAAAAAGACCTGATATAATTCAAGATCATACTGTGCATGATCTTAATATGTTAACATGCATAGTAAACAAGAATGGTGTAATACTGAAATATCAATTAACTAAAATTGGCATGTCAAATTAGGTCTCTTTTGGTGGACCACATAATGAAACCGTGATCTATTTAATCTATTATTGCATTAGGGGGTTCTTAAAGTTAACTTCCAGGGGAAAATAGATGATCAGGAGGCCCTCACTATACCAACTGATTGAAAGGAGAGAAGGGGAGTTTTGAAATTTGACTGCCACCCCAATCATCTTTTAGGATCATGGACCTTCTGTGTATCAGTTGTGGGAGACGTCTTGACAGGACCAGGCCAGAGACAGGGAGCCAGAGGATATTGTCAGCTCTAGATGACTCCTGACCTGAACACCACTTGGTATGCAAGACACTGTCTCCCCTCATTCCCACCAAACACAGGAAGTGTTTATAATCCAGGAATATGGAAAGAGACATAAGCATCCTTTAAGTTGAGGACGGCAGAACAGAATTGGATGCAGAGAGGGGATGAGGCAGCCAGGGAGACCCTGCAAAACTTAAGCTTCTTGAGACTTGCTAAAGTGACCCAGATTCAGGATGGGTCTGAAGCTCCTTTTTGCCTTTTGGGATTAGGAAATAGCAGAAGATTTTTGTATCATGAGGAACCTCCTCCTCCTCTGGCCCCAGGCGTAGGAGGTTTTTAATCTCTTGGACATGGAGTTGCTTTGTGAGGAAGGTCCCGGAAGAGGAATGGGAAAGAGGGGCGGGGTCAGAGGGAGGGATGGCCATAAACTACAGGGTATAACCCCAGATACTATGTCCAATACCCAGTGGTCCCAGGTAACCTACAACTAAGCCAAATGGTAGGGACAAGGAGTGAGAATAAAGTGAATCTGGGATATCGCTGTGTTCCTTCTAACCCAAGAATGTTTTCCCAGGCAGGATAGCAGTGATGAAAACTCATCTTGTCCCCTTTGAGGTAGGCCCCTGAAGTTGCTACAGTCCTGAGGATAGGGCTGGCCAGAACTCCTGACATACCATGTATAGTGATGCATGCCCAGTGAGTGAAGAGTGATCCTGCTGTCCTTTAGCCCATAAAGGCTTGCACAATGATCCTTGGCTTTTACCTGGTTCCAGGGAGCCATGGTTTCTTGCTTTCCTTCTAGGGTGCTGGACAGAAATCAGGGATGCACTGATGTTGAGGCATTTGGCAAAATCCTGCTGTACAGCTCAAGCTGGTCAATCCATGAGGACCATGAGGAGGCACCTGTAAATGAATATCCTCCTCTGTACATCCAGGACTGGAAGTGGTTTTTTTTTTTTTTTTTTTTTTTTAAAGTACAGCACTTGTCTTTCACTTATGACTTCCCCAAGCACTTGAAGCTGGGATGGCTGTCACTTACAGATATAGGCTAGTTACAGTGTGTGCAGGCTTTAAGCTTCAGAGACCAAGTCTACACAGGCATGTGTCAGTGCTGTAAGTTTGTGTTGGTGTGAAAGCACCTTTTCCTCCCCAGCACAATACAGCATTTTAGCTTAAAGGGCCAGTGTGAACCAGGCTTCAGGGCTAGGAGCTGTGCTTCCAGCACTGTTAGCTACTCCCTTCATGGAGGTGCTTTACAGAGAGAGCTCTCCCAGCACTCCTGCCACGGCTACATTTTAAACTGTTAAATATAGACAAAGCAAGACTGGAGCATGCCATTCTTAGGATGAAGTCTCTAACTACTGTGACAGGTGAGGTGAAATGGCTACAAAACAGATTTCCCCCCCCCTTCAAACACTGAAATGCTCCTATTCAAAACCAGGTGGGTGGGTTGGCATAAGCTGAAGGACCCTCCTACAAATCCTTTGACATCCAACTGATTACTGGGGACAAAAAAACATGAGCAGTTGTGAAGGTCAAAGGGCCAAAACAAGGGAACCAGATGGGGACACCATGCAGAACAGCACCCATTGCTCCCCCAAAGCATTGAGGGAGCCAGCAGACACCACCCAGAGGAAGTGCATCCAGATATTTGAATGGATAGAGGAATGTAAAGGTCCCACAGTCCCAGACCCCTCCCTCAGCCCCCTGGTTTTATAAATGGCCATAGCCAGGAGACTGACAAGGAGGCCCTGCAACTATTGGAGAATGATAGAAGATAGGTATATTAGCCCCAGATTAAGCCAGTTCCTTTTCCCTGGGTGAGGGAACAGGGACCACACCAAAGCAATCAGCAACTTGCTATAACAATTAAGGCAGGCAGGCCAATTAAGACACCCAGAATCAAGCAGAAACTTGCTAGAATCAATAAAGAAATGAGTTATTTCAGGGTATGCAAGGAACTGGGAGTAAGGCAGGCACAGCTGGAAGGGACTGGACTAGGCAGTATAAACTCAGACACCAGGAGGAAGGTCCTGCTATAAGGATAAAAGTGGCCCAGGGAATTAATAGTTGGCTCTGTACATAGCTGCTATACACAATTCCTGAGCTGGAACCCAGAACACAGGGCAGGCCCATGTTCCCTCCATCCCCTCAAATCCTCATTGGCTACAGGAAGATTTGTCTGGACAATGAAACAGAAGGGAAGGGCTACTTTGGAAAGGGGTCTGACCCATTCAGAGAAGCAGCAGAGACTATGGGAAGTGTTCTCCCTTTCCAATACTGGCTAATGAGGAAGACAGCTAAGTAAATGGCAAGTTTGTGTCCTGGGGAAATGCCTAAACTGAGGGTTGCTGTGAACCTCTCAGGCAAGCAGTCTACCTGAAAGCACAGGACCCACCAAAGCAGAGAAAAACTTTAACACTTAACACTAACTACTGAAAGCAAACTACATACAAGGTCCTAAGGCTCATAAGAAAAAGCCACTAGCTTTTGCTGGACAGCAAGGAAAGGTGCTCTGATCAAACATGGGCAGCAAGAAGGAATTAAGAGGGCACCTGACTAGCAGCATCTAATATACTAGTGCATAAGCAGAGCACTGAAGGAAGCACTATAGCTAACCATACAGATACTGTAAAACTCTGGTGGCATACATGGGCATATCCAGATATAGAATGGAATCAACCTGAGCAAGCACTTTAAGAACATATCTACCAGCCTGCAAGGCCTATCACTATTATCAGTTATACTTGTATGGTGCACTCCCCTTGAGGGAAGCATGTAGATAAATATTCTTGATGAGGATATGTTGCTTTATCCTTACATCTGACTGTATAGGCTTGATTGTACAGTGACCAGGCAAAAGATGGTCCGGTCCGGGGGCTCAGACGCTACAATACAGACCAACTGAAAAGCCTATTACATTGTTTAAGGCCTCCTAAGACAAAAAGTTAAAGAATCAACAGAATCAGCTAAGTAGTCACCTAAGTATTTGTATCCAGTCACAAGTCTGGTTGAGCACAACTCCACTGAGCAAGTTCCAGTCTTCACATTTCCATTTATATGATGATTTATATGCAAAAATCAAATTGCTATATAATAGTTTAGCATTTAGAATTTTTGCTTGACATTTTATTCCAAGGTCACTGCACAAACCAAACTCTTCATTTTATTGGTTCCTAAGATATGAAGCTTTTGGAGCTATTAAAAAATGTTAAGATGAAACAAGTACAGTAAACTTCCGATAATCCAGCACCTTTAGGACCCGGGGGTGCCGGATTATCAAATATGCCGGACTATCGGAAGGGGGGCTATGAGGAGTCTTGGGTGCAGTGGGGGGATGCCATCCCAGACCCCTCATAGCCCCCTTTCCGATAGTCCGGCTCTGCCCCAGGCATCCGATTCAGCCGCTGTTGGTGAGTTTCAGCAGTAGCTGAATCTGGGACACCTGGGGCAGAGCAGCTGGGGTGCTGCCGGGTTGGTCCCATAGTGCTGCCCCTCGAGACTCCGAGACCAACCTGGCAGCACCCCAGCTGCTCTGCCCCCAGCTTCCTCGGTTCAGCTGCTGGTCAGTTTCAGCAGCAGCTGAATTGGAGAAGCCAGGCACAGAGCAGCTCCAATTGTCCAGCAGCCAGAGCACTTCCAGGTTCCTGATGGTACTGGACCATCATGAGTGCCAGAGCATTGGATGCCGGACCAATGGAGTTTTACTGTATTTATCAAATATTTATCAGGTTTTTAGAAGTTAGATTTATGGAAGGCAAATCTATCAATGGCTATTCTCCAAGATGATCAAGAACACAACCACATGCTCTGAATGCGCCTAAATCTTTGCCAGAAAGTGAAACTAGCCGTCAGGCAATAAAAAACTTAATAGACCTGTTCATTCCCTCTGAAGCATCTAGCACCATAACCACTGTTGAAGGATGGGTAATAGACCAATAGTCCATCTGGCACCAAGTCAGCATAGCCATTCTTATTTTCTTAGGTCCTCCAGAAATAAATTTAGTGTTTTTGCTGTAAGTTTGTCAAATAAAATGGTTACATTTAATCTCAATTGTAGCAATTACAGAAATGCTAAAGATCAGAACATAATGCTTAGATAAGTTTACTCTAAGTGTTCTGCTATCTTAAATATTTCTAACATTTTCAACAGTGGATAAGAGATCATAAAACAGTCACTGAAATGACAATCATTTTTTGCTTAGTCACAGCATAAATTCACATGTTAATTTGTTACACATTCAAAATAACTCATACATTTGATTCATTTAGAATAATTTCTATATGAAACATGATTAGCAAAGACTTCATGACAGTACAAATTTCATAGCTACTCCTATTTATTCTTTGAAAGACGAATTCCAAAATGTTCCCCAGCTAGCTCCTCAATTGAGATTAACTCAAGATAGCACACACTAAATTTAAACTTTAGCGAGTTATTTTCAAAGTCAGTCTGAAGCTAAGAATGATAAGCATACTATTTTAACTAACATTAATGCTGGGGTAAATAGATAAAACCTGCAAAAATAAGCGTAATTCCAACAGGTATGTCTAACGGTTTGACTTCCTAATGCTACAGGGCACACATGGAATGGTTATAGGGTAGACCATAGAAGAGAATTAATACTGGAAGTATTTGAAGAGAGTAGATTTAACTCTTATAAGAGCATCTTCTCATTTGATTTATTTTGGGTTTTTTCCCTTTAGGAGGCTGCAGGTATCTATTCTGTTCAACATACAATGCATACCCCCAAGTTCAAGTGCAGAAGCAAATTAAAACAAATACATGAATCTCATTCATATTTCAACTAAGCTGCCCAAAAAGGCCATTTGTAACATACTGAATCACCACTACAGAAATTTTATTAAGCAAACTTTTATTGAAGCATTAGGTTTTGTGGTACAATATATTTTTTTAAATTATCAAAGTCTAACACCATAGAGAAATTATAAAACCATAGTACCCCCTCTCCTGATCACCCAATATAGTTCATTCAATAGCTTTCATCTTCTATCCACGGCTTATTTATATAAATTTGTGTGTTGTTTTTTTTACCAACTTTACTCAGAAAGGGATCTCGGGTCTATTTGTATTATAGGACCTCAAGCCAACATAACGTCAGATCAGTTGGGACAATGTTTAAGAAGAAAACTTAAAATATTGGTCCTCAAAATATAAGCACCAAAAAAACCACTAGGTGCCATCCACAGAAGCAAATCATCACTGGTAGATAACTTCTTCAATCAAGTCTTCAAACAATATGGTTAAAATAAGTCAAAATAATGTTCCAACCACTTGATTTCCAAATCAAGCAGATTTCTTAGTTTAGAAACACTAAAAGGTGCTTCATTTATAAATACGGAAGGAACAAAAAACCATTGCGTCAATCCAGAAAGCCAAAATAATATTGTGAGGTCAAGAGGGAAGTGTAAAATTTGTAATTACTTGGTCTCATATTACTAAAATCCCACAGTATTTGCAAACATAGCTGAAAATATCAACTCTTGAAAGCCTGCATCTATTAGTCAATAGACATTAAATGACTGAATTACACACTTACTGCTCTATGAATAGCATTCTATTTCATTGGATCCAGCAATCCCAGACCCTTCTTGTTCTTACAGTCATTCACTTAATGCCATCAAGTCATGGTAAAAAGAATCACCACAGTTAGAAGGAAAACAGGTGAAGTCACAACACTGTTGAATACAGCATTAAGTCACACGCACAACATCACAGGACTTTCAGTCACGAGATAAAGGCATTGATGTTGTTTGGAATGACAAAACAGAAAACATTTAGACCAGTTTATAGCATATTTGATCAAAACTGGAAGTGAAAGTTAATGTAACAGTTTATGCCTCAAATTCTATTTTTACTTGCTCCACCTGCCAACAAATTTGAGTGCATTAGCTCTAGTAAGTCAATATTAGAAACACAGCTTGAGTAGATTACAAAAGTGAAAAATTATAACCATGTGACAGCTTTGAAAAGTACCAATTCAACTATGCCAAAGCATCTGTATTCTGACATTTTCTGGGCCTCCTTTGAATGTAGACTAGCATCCTGTAGAAACATGGTGGTTTTGGGATATAAACCAATATCAACTTGGGCAGTAAATGAGATGAGAACACTTGACCTAAGCTAGTATTTGAACCCAAGTTTCTAGAAGTGAAAAGTTAGTGCATTATCCCACAGTGCTACAGTATATTGCCCTTCAGTCCTTTCTGAACAAAACCCTGTCAGTTTAAAGGACTAACTCTGAGTAATGTTATTACATCTCAAATAAAAAGACATGCCCCTATATGTAATAGCCTTTATTTGTTCTCAGTCTTGCAAAATCATGTGTTATCAAGTGCAAGAACCTTGATTCCACCATTGACATGTGAATTAGAAATCAAATTTCATTAGCGAACACACTAAGTTCTCAAGAAATGGTCTGGAGATTGAAATTACAGCATAGATGAAAAATTCTGGCAGCAATTTAATGAAGAACTGTCCCAGATGAGAAGGCTGAGGCCAATGTCTAATGAGGACGAAAGCCTTGTCTGTGGGGAATTTTTGGTGATACCTGGAGAAAAGCTATACTGTGTGAAATCCTAATTGAGTTCTTTTTAAATGTGGTGTGAAGTCTTGTACAGTAACATTTCTCTACATGCACTTCAATTTCACAGCAAGAGTGGCATAGAATACCTAAACACAGAAGAGAGCGTTCATGCAAGATATCTAACTCCTTGATATAATAATGCATACAATTCAAAATGATTATACTATGATTACATCTAGGGCTTTCCCCAACTACAAGGTGGTAGTGGAAAGCATGGCCCCCTGAATCATTAACTAGAAAGCAGCCACCACCTTCTATAAGGGATCTCTTTTTGCGTTTTTTCTTCATTTTTCTTAATCAACTATGTTGCTGCTGCTTCTTGGCAAAACTGGTAAAAACAAAATTGTAATCATTGAACTGAGCAATCTGGCGATCAACGTGTTTAAACCCTTCAATCTTCTGGGCAGAAGAAAACACTGTGCGACATTTAGAACTCTAGGGAAAAAGAGTGAAACACTTTTATTTACTAAGCTTTTTCTTAAGATTTAGCAAAGAAAGATAAAACAGCTTCTGAACTAGTTTGAGATATGTTCTTGGGATGCAATTATCAATGCGCTTCTTTGAATTAATGTGCTGTAAGAAGCCATTGCAATCAAAAAATTCTGCTTCCTATCCAGCTCCCAAAGTCTTTTACATTGCTTCTATAGCAGATATGCAGATTAGATGAAGCACTGCTTTCAAGGACTGATCTCTAGTACTGCTAGTTGTGACCAAGATTCAAAAGTTCTTGTTTAGGTATTGCCTCCCTGCCTATCCAAAAGTGATAAGAAAATTCTAAGGCTTGATTATTCCTATATCTTAGTTTCCTGAGATTTTAAAGATTTGAAACCCCAGGCTTGAAGTCCACACTGACTGACTTCTAAGTTTTGTGCGATCTGTTTGGACCTTGAAGATTGCTTCCTTAGCCCAAGTAGCTACTCTTCAAATTCATGTAAATTATAGGAAATGGAGAAAGGAAATAAATGATTCTGAAGCATAGGTATCTTGTTTAATTCTCACCTCTATCTAAAATTACCTTTAGTTGCCAGATAATGAAATGAAACTTACCTGATTAACAAAAAGTGTGGTAACAAATTTTCCTGGCTTGAAAACATCTACAACCTTTCTGATCAGCTCATCATAGGATGTCTGACCAATGTTTGTTTCAAAACTAACGTAAGAAAACTCTGGTTCTGGAGTGATGTGAATAGTCCAATAAGTTCCCTAAATACAAAAATAAATTAGAATGAATTAATAGTAACACTTTATTCATTGTTGGGTTATTCTCAACAGCAGGCCAAGTAGGAAACTTACATCCGATTTCATCCCATTCATTGAATACCCACAAGGATTGAACATTGTAGCATCAATGACAGAACCTGGTATCAGGTCACGAATTCCACTCACCTGAAAAGTAAAAGTTACATAGCTCACACTTTATATCAATAAGCTTACACTTTGCATTATAACAGTCTGGCTCCCAAAGTCAGAGGGTAGTCCACTTTAAGAAACCATACCCTGAAGGGATGCCAGTATTCTAGCCTAAACAGGAGAAAAACTCCAGACCCATTATACAGACTTGCTTTGTATACAGCTCTACCTCTGCAAGAACATGCCACACATCAAGGTGGCACAGCTCCTTTCCCTCAGATCTTAAACGTATTTTCATTCTAATTCTTAGTGCCAGCTGCATGTTTCATTGAAGCAATTTAAGGATGAAGGTTTAATTGACAATTGCAGCTATGAATAGGGTTGTAAAATTGATTAAATAGGTAACTAACCACTGAAAATCTGCCCTGCTCCCCAGGGGAGGCTTCCCTGCAGGCTCTGCAACTTACTCCCCATAGGCTCTGCAGGCCCAGCTCCTGAGGAGCCAGTGTGTAACTTGCAGAGCAAGGGGGCTGGGGCTACCATGGACAGGAGATGCTGGCAGGGCTAGAGCAACTCCCTGCCCAGGGCAGGCAAGGAGTTGCTCCAGTCCATACAGTTAACCAGAAGTGATAGTCATAGCTGAGGATGTGAAAGGATAATGCTTACAAATAAAATGGAGTTTAATAGTTCCAGCAGTCCCAAAGTGAAGACTGGATTTGCTTAGAAGTTTGAACATTTTTCCTTATTCATGCTCTATAAAATAGGGTTCTACTTCATGGAGAGTAGAGGTCTTTCAAACAGTACTTGCACATTAATATTAATTAGGAAAGATGAAGTCACAGCTTTGTCAGTCACATGCATGTTTCATTGAGAAGCAGTGACTGTCAATCTTTTACCCAACTTAAAAATTTTGGGGGGAAGATAATACATTTTATCAGAAAAGGGAACTTCCCTAACAGTTACCTTAAGAGGATTTTTAAACTTTCAGTTTTATGAGAGAATTTATGTTGGAGTTTAAGACTGATCACATGGTTCAACTAAAATTAAGCTATTGACTTGTCCACTTCTACTTCTGGAAGTCTCCAGCTTTTCAGTTTCACATAGGCTGAGACTGAAACTGACAGTCTACACTAACAAAACTTGCTTATCGGTGCTTACCTCCCCCACCCTTCCAAGAACCAAAAAATAAGCCTCACTTGCTGGGGAAGTATGTCAGAAAAAATGCTAACAAAGCATTCACATGAGCATACCTTCAGCAACCAGGCTGGGTCAACAGACTTGTGAACAAAAGCTGAAGTAGACACACCTTTGGTCACTAAGTGCATGTCCTTTTCCTCCTAAGGAACCCATACCCTTTATCTCTTCTAGGCCACCAATAAGAGATTCCCATCAGCAAAAGAGCAGAAAGCTACTTCTAGCAGATGCTACAATGCTCTCTAAACTGAAATAGGAACACTAGAAGGAAAGGTGCCCTTCCTCACAAACTAGTTTAGTTCCCAACCTGTTTTGGCTCTAGAACAGTGTCTGAACTATTTGCCTGTCATATCATTTCCCCACTATAGGATGGGGCTTATGAATTAGCAAATGCTTGGTTAAGCTACAGTCACTCAATTCTGACCACACAAAATTTAAACTCCCAACTTACACGAGTGACATCATTTGCAGTAACACCGTCTTTCATGTAGAACTGGTCCATAACTACTGGGTCAAGCTCGCTCATCAGAATTTCCAGTGTCTGATCTGGCTGATTGGTTACCCGACTTTCTGGGAAATCCAGAGTGTACAAATACCTGTCAAATATACAATCACTTCTGTATTATACAAGCAGCACCTCAACCTGAGTTGTAATTTAGAATATAGATTGAAAATCTTAAATATACCTACCAGCAATCAGAATTCATACGTCCCATACAATAAGCTGCTCCATCTATTTGGGACAAAAGGAAAGTCCTTTTATAAATGCATCGCAGCCGATTCCTCATTGAAGGGACTAACCTAATTTCTATTCTTAACAAGGATAATGCAGGAGTCATTTAAAAAGGTCTGCTAAACAAATGTAGTATCCAAATGGATGGGTATGTAATCTTGCAGACAAGGATGCTCAAAATATGGTAGAACAGTTGTAACATTGTTCATTTGTTTCTTTTTTAAACAGATTGTCATTTCTCTTAAGTCTACTTATGAAACATCTCTAGTATGTTTTATTCATAAAGGCAATGGGAATTAAAACAGACCAGTGACCCCATTATATGCAGCTGCAGGCTAGGTCTTTAAATAGAAGGCTCACAAGCTAACTGTTCATTATGTAACAAAACAGACCTAAAGAAAACTAGTTCAGCAACTCAATAGAATATACCCACTCATCTTAATGCATGTAGGATCAATATATTAACTTATCTTGTAATTTACTGAAAATGTTAATGTTACTTTCAAATCATTTTGAATATTCTAAATGACTAGCTTAGTAGTGTGGTTCTGCTTTGATCAGTGAAAAACTGGCACCTTACTCTTATTTGCTCCCTGTGTGCATTTAGAACCTCATCTAACATATTAGCCTGCTTTGTTTCTGAGACCTACAGAGCCAACACCACTCAAGGTCAGCTAGACTATCTGATCTGTTAGGTCAAAAGGACTGGTTACTGCTTTCCATTCTATTCTGCATGCCTCACCTCACTCATGACAGTAGAGTGTTACAAGTTCTTAACTGGGCATAATACAGGCTGCAGAAGAGTGTTTGAGGTGGCACAAGAAAGAACCTAGCGCAATCTCCACATCTCAGGTTGAATATGTCAGCAACTACTAGCAGGTCCTATATAAATTAAATGAAGTTCAGACCACATGAAACATCACAATGAAAGATTTAGAGCAGGGGTGGGGAACCTTTTTTGGGTCAGAGCCACTAACCCACAAATAAATCAATAACTGGCGGCACAAATGTGGGAAACAAAACCCCTCTGATGTGGCTCCCGATTGAAATACTGAGTAAGACATTCCCCTCAGACACCAGAGCCTGGGGGGAACCCAGGCTACTAGATTGTGTGCTCCAGACCCACAGGAGGACAATGGGGGGAGGGGGCGAGCTGGAACACTGGCCTGGGCTCCCCAATGCTGGGGGAGCTCAAAGCCTCAGGGGTTGAATCCAGGCAAGCTGGGGGTTGCATCTGGCCCCCAGGCATAAAGCGCCTCACCCCAATTTAGAGCCACTACAGTGCTTATGACTAAACCTGAAAGCTTTCTAAAAACATTACCAGGACCTTGGAAGTATGACACTAGTAGCTACCTTGCTCTAGATATTAGGCTAGGTATCCTCAAGTGCCCACCTATTTGAAAATAGAGATAGAAATGTAGTCGTGTTAGTCCTGTTTTTTGTTCCAGCTACACCAGACTATGTAGCACTTTAAAGACTAACAAGATTGTTTATTAGGTGATGAGCTTTTGTGGACCAGACCCACTTCCTCAGATCAAATAGTGGAAGAAAATTGTCACAACCATATATACCAAAGGATACAATTTAAAAAAATGAACACATGTGAAAAGGATGTGTTCACGTGTTTTTTTTAATTGTATCCTTTGGTATATATGGTTGTGACAATTTTCTTCCACTATTTGATCTGAGGAAGTGGGTCTGGCCCACGAAAGCTCATCACCTAATAAACCATCTTGTTAGTCTTTAAAGTGCTACATAGTCCTGTTTTTTGTTCCACCTATTTGAGAAGCACTATAGATTTTAACACTGCTGGCTTAAGCTCATCAAAACCCTACAAATCACAAGTATTGCACTGGAAGGGACCTTGAAAGTCAGTTATTCTGGTACCTAGTCTTGAGACAAAATGATGCATTATCAATCAGTGGTTCTCAACTTGTTTCAGTCCACAGACCACCAGGCCAATCAAAAAATTGTGGACCGCCTCCAGCACATGTAGCCCAAGATGAACAACAGCAGCTGCTCAGCATGATGGCAGCAGCTACACTGATGCTCAGAGCCTCAGACGGAAGTTACTGGCAACACAACACAGTTGAGTCCTAGGTTACGCTATGGATGACACACTGCATGCTTATGAATGCGGCGTAAAACAGCCTAACAGCAGCACCTGCTCGTGCCGTGTGACTTTGGACAATGTTCCTGTGGACCATCAAAAAAGTCACCATGGACCACCAGTGGTCCATGGACCATAGTTGAGAACCACAGCATTATCTAGAGCAGTGTTTCTCACCTTTTTTTGTATAAAGTACCCCTTTAAAAAAAGATAAAATTAGAAGTAACTCTAGTACTACAGTTTGATACTTTTTTCCTACTATTGGAACACATTTGTTTAAACAACTTAATTGTAGCTGGGCAGGCGATATTTTTGGGTATAAAAGTACAAAATAAAGCGCTGTAAAACTTACAACAAAAATTCATTTCTCTCCAAATTTCAATTGTGTTGAAGTATCCCCCAGACTTCCCTCAAGTACCCCTAAGGGTACTCATACCACTGGTTGAGAAACACTGATCTAGACCAATGACAGGTGATTGTCTAACTTGTTCTTAAAACCTGACAAATTCTACAACCTTTGCACTGTGGCTAAGCATGCCAAGGTCTTTAATCCTGAGGTACTACCAGTTATGCTGATTTATTTTTCTATGGCATGCAACCTCTCATCCACCCTAGTCATGAAATTAGCAGGTATAATCTTTGATTCCAAGGTGGAGGGGAATGAAACAGTCTGTACTAGCTGTTGAAAACATTGTAGCTTTTCATAACTTACAGCCACATAACGTTTGGAATGTTGATTGCCACCGGAAGAACTGGTACAACATATTCTCTTAACAAAAACTCAATTCCATTAACTCACTTGGGAAAATTTCATTAAGGAACTCTACTTCTTCCTGGAAATTCCTATGTGGGTACTCCTGGTGGGAAGGCTTCATGAAATTCTTACGTGAGTAAAAGAAGCTCTGAAAAATAAAATCAATTGAGATATATTCTTTGGTATTATTCCAGATTTACACTTTCTAGCTGAAGGCGGCACATAGTATAGGGACAATATATCCAAATATCCATCTCAATGGTCTGAGCCAGGAGCAGGCAATAATTTGATGGGACACCACTCCAAGATTTTGGAAAGTGGTTGAGGATCACTCTTCCATGATATTAACAGAGAAGATGCAGAGAGGTGGGGTAAGGGAATAGGGTGCAGGAGGGAGACTGGTGTCTGGGAGGAGTTGCGCTGAAGCAGGCTGTTGTGACCAAGGGCAGGGGACTGGAGTGCAGGGGTTTGGGATGTGACCTAGAGTACGAGGGGATTGTGATCTGAGGCAGGATACTGGGGTGCCAGATCTTGGAGGGGGTATGGGTGTAAGCAGTGCTTTGTGAAAGTACGGCCCAGAATGGCATATCACCACCTATTTTCCCAGCCCACAGAAAAGGAATGGCATTTCTCCCATGCGTACTGGCACCTGTTTTCCTGGGGAGGCTTGGCTCCTGACAGAAACCTGCTCGGGACATGCAGCCTTCCTCCCCTCCCCCCGACTCCCAGCACAGCATTTTGGCTCTTAAAGAAGCTGTGACTATTTCGACTCCCAGCACAGCATTGGGTTTTTTTTTTTGCACTCAACTTCACCCCAGAGTACCAGCACCTTTCTTACAAAAAAGCACTGGGTGTAAGAAGGGGACAGAGGGTTTGGGTATGCTGAGTGGAGGGAGGAGGGCAAAGAGTTGAGGCAGGAAAGGTCTGAGGTGCCAGAAGCAGGCTGTGGCCAAGAAACTTACTTGTCAGCTGCCAAACTAGTCTGCCTGCAGAGCTTAAAATGTTTCCCAGCCAGCCTGCTTGCCCAGCCATGTGATTCATGAATATCTGAGCCCAGGAGCAGGCTCAAGATTCTTCTTAGCTTCCTGTTATTCTAACAAGCATCTCCCATTGGCTGGTTTCTGCCAGAAACTAGCCAATGGGATTGTGCGGGGGCAGGGCAGCTCCTATAACTTCCCTATTCCCCTCCAGTTTCAAAACAAACTGAGCCCTGCAGCAGCTGTTTCTGCACAGTGCTTCGGGGGCTGCGGGGCAAGCTAGGGAGCCTGCCTAGGGCTCCCTGCTGCCACTGAGCCAGATCCAGTGGCTTGGCAGGTCGAATCCAGCCCACAGGCTGTATTTTGCTATAGCCTGCTTCTTAGAGACCTTGGAAGTCAGGGTTTTGTCCTTTGTTGAGGCAGATGGTGTCTCCTAATAGGTTTGCTGAGGCAACTGAAGAGACTTCTACATAAGGATCATCTTAAGATGAAGTTACCTGTCACGCCTGGCTCTGGAAGTAAGATAAATGTAATGAGGGATTTTTTTGGAGGATACAAGTTTCATCAAGGCAGTGAATGAAGGAAGCATGAGCTGTTGGAGATAGCCATAGGCCTGCAAGAAGTGTCGCATTTCTTGAAGCCCAGGGATCCCAGTATAGTAATGGCAGGATCTCATGTCTCCTTTTTCTTTTTTGGTTGGCAGTCTATGAGCCAAGGCAGAAGAGCAACTATAACGAAGTTAAAATAGGGTAGGCCATACTGGGAATAAAAACATTTTTCAGTGAGGGAAGGCAGAGATAAATAAGATTTTAAGGCAACAACCAAGGGGAAAAACTTCCAGCACAGGTGCATGCAGCAAGCACACACCTAATATGGAATGGACATGAGCAAGCAAAGCACTCAGACAGGGCTCTGTGAGCCAATCTTGAAAGCAGCAGAGGTGTAGCCTCGGCTAATTGGTAACAAAATTACAAGCTGCCATGCTGAAGTCTTGCAGTATTGGAGAACAGTAACAGTCTGGAGACTGAGGTTTCATTATCAAAAGACTCAGTACCCACGAGGAGCAGGGATTCTAGCTCATCTGTTATGGACAAGTCCTGCAGGCATTTAGATGTGAGTAGGGAATCAGTACTGACAGCTTAGTGAGGACATGGTAGCCAAAAGCTGATGATACTGTCAATGATGGGCATATTGATATAGGTGCTGATGGGAGTCTTGTTTGCTTGGTACCAAAGGTGCAAAACAAGTGGATACCAACAGCAGGATGAATTTGACAGTAATCAATCAAGGTGCTTGTTTGCCACCCTTTCCCCCAGTAGAGAATACTTAAGCCCTGTAAAAAGCCCTGTCAAACCCTACAGCTCTAGTGCTTTCCAGATCTGCCAGTACTGGAGGAGGAATCCTTCAACTCAATGGCACCAAATTGGGAGGTCAAGGATCTGGAGATCCTAGATCTCACTAGGATCCTGAGCCTCTGGAACAGGGTCCTTCAGGTACTGCTTGTACTACTTTTTGGAGCCCCCTCAGAATCCAACAACCTCCACTTCTTCAGAGAAGCCTGCACTGGATCTACCTAGAGACAGATGCAGAAATATGAAGGATCCCCTGACTTGACTCAGACATTGGTCAAAGAAACTATTGTTTAATAGCCTGAGCTTCATCTCCCTATTTTGGGCTCAACTTGAAAGCTAGGGAGACACTACACTTCTGGAACATGTAATCTCAAACTGACACTCAAGATAGCTTTTTGGCAGGAAGCAACATTTTAATCTGGGGAATCAGACATGATTTGCAGGAAGACAAGAACCCCTCCCTCCCAAAGAGAAAAATCCCATCCTCTCACTACCAATGCTTATTAACTAGGTTACAGGGCAGATATGTCCTGCACTTAAGGGGAAAGGGCTAAGTCTCTGGGCAGTGAAGTCCCACCCATCTTCCCAGACTGGGTATGCTCCAACTGCTGAAGCTTATCAAAGCCAGGGGAGGCAGCTCAGTCTTGGCAGACTGCCAGCAGAGCAGGAGCTCAAACCTGAGCTCCTGAGCAGCCACAGCCCCGGCCACAGGGACAGTAGGAAGCAGCCCAGGATGGAGGTTTGTTCCTCCTCTGGGAGCTCAGCGTGTTTCGGTGGGACATCCCGCTGAGCAGGTAGTAGAAGTGCCCACTGCCAACAGGGCCTTGGATTGGGACCTGGAGGAGCAGGAGGGCCTGGGTCCCCTCTACCTCCCTGCCCCGCAAAGCTCGCTTCCCTGATAGCCAGGGGAGACTCACCAGAGGCATAAGCCTCCAGGCCAGAAAGCCTTCCAGAGAGACCACTGAATTTTTGGCCCAGGCCGGTGGGCCATATTTCCCCTAAGTCAGGGGCACTGAATTTTGGGACTAGGCAGGTGGGTTGTATTTCCCCTGAGCGAGGGGCACTAAAAGGTGAGGTTGATATCACAGGGGGATGTCCCTCCCAAGGACCAGGAGGGTGCACCCCGTGACAGACAGTTAACTAATCTTAAAACTATAAAAATACAGAATAGATGAGGTATACTCAAGTTAGGTACACTAGAGCTCCATTTCCAGAAAAGGTGGTAGAAAAGAAACTGAGGGCAGTTTGTCTATGCATCCCTATGTAGCCTTGTTGTCCAGCAAAAAAGGTAACCAATCAGGATCTCAAGAGGCATATGTGCACCTGAAGTAGAGCACCCATGCAGCTACCCCTTGAAGAATGAGTTATCAAGTCTCCTATACTAAAGCAGCAAAAATGAGCATTCATACTAAACAGATACAGATCTGTAGATTATTATTGTGTGTAACCCAGTGGTCTTCAACCTTTTTATGCCCAAGATCACTTTAAATGTCGGAACAAGCCAAGATCTACCCCATCCTTCCCCCAAGACTCCACCCCTTCCTTAAAGCCCCACCCTCTGGTTCTCCTCTCCATCACTTGCTATCCCCAGCCCTTATACACTCTAAGGATACAGCTATACTGCCGCTTTTTTCCAATTCTTCTGTAGGAAGAGGTTTTTCCAACATTTGGCATGTCTGGGCCAAATGTCAGACTGGGCCAAATGTCAGAAAAACCCCTATTTTTGGAAGCCCCCTTATTCCTCATGGAACGAGGAATACAGGGGGTTGCCAAAAGAACATGTTTGCTCTTGCTAAAGAAAGTGGAAAAACAAACGCGTCCCTGGAAGCGGTAGAGTTTTCCCCAGAAAAACTTATAGTCTAGCTTTACCTTCACTGGGTTGAGACAGGAACTGTGGGCTCTGGGAGGGAATTTGGACACAGGAGGAAGTGGAGAAGGTGATGCTGGCTCAGAGGGGGTTCCAAGCTGGGGAGTGTTGGGGTCAGGTGGAGGGTTGTGGTGCTGAACAAGCCGCAGGCTTGTGGATGTGAGTGCAGGAGTTTAGGGATGTGAGAGGCTCAGGACAGGAGCTTCCAGGGTATGATAGGCTCAGATTTGAGGTTGGGTGGTGGCGGTGCAGGAATGTTATACTGCAGCCAGATGGGGTCTTGGCTCCAACTGGGGGTTTACTGGCAGGCTTCATTTTTAAATAAAATATTATATCAAACACAAACTTTCAGCATTGTCTTTATTTATGAGAAGGGTGGGGAACCTGTTTTGAGTCAGGGCCACAAGTGAGATGCAAAAAAAACCATGCTCCACAACCCTACAAGCCTCACTAATGTGGCCTTAACTGTGCTGGTGGGGACAGGGTGCTGAGGCAGGGTACTCATGGAGGGGGTCTAGCCAGGAGGAAGGGACAGACAGCTGTGGGGTCATTACCTGGAGATCCAGGGTCTCAGGAAGCATGCTGGCTGCTCTTCCCCTCTCCTCCTCCAGGCACCCCCCCGCTCTAACCCAATTTCCCTCCCCTTCCCCAGAGCCAGGGATGCTCTGAGCTAATGGGCCACACAAGTGAGATGCAAAAAGAAAAAACCACTCCAAAACCCCCCAAGCCTCACTCATGTGGCTCCAACTGTGCTGGTGGGAGCAGGGGACATGGTACTGGGGAAGGGTGCTAGTGGGTGCTGAGGTGGGGACAGTGCCAGTAGGGGTAGGGGACAGGGTGTTGGTGGAGGTAAGGGGCAGGGTAACGGGGCATGCTTCCACCGTGGACTCCTACCCCCTCCCCCTGCAGAGGAGCGAAGTCCACATGCACTTCCTCTGGGCACTCCTAACCTCCCCCCCCCGCTCAGGAAGTCCCTGGCATGCCCTAAACCTGAGTTCTGGAACCGTGCCAGCTGTTTGGAGGAGGGGAGCAGCCAATGCACTTTCTGAAACCACTGAAGGAAGCTGGCACTACCTCCATTGTCACTGGAGGTAGGTAGTGGGGTTTCTTGGTGGTGGAAGGAAAAGGGGCGGGTCCTGAATTCCTCACTATCGATGGGTTGGTGGCCACAGTTTTAACCTTTTACATTTAAAAGATTAGATTGATGGGCCTTAAGTTTTCACTTCTGCTTTCCTTTATTATCTGCAAATTCCATGTGATTTCCCCCACCCTTATAAGGGAGTGTCATGTAGAGTCTAGCTCTTCAGAGCGAAGTCAACATAAGCAACATTTTAGTTCTCGCTTTACAATAAAGTCCAATGAACATACAAGGAAAAATACTACTTAAAGACTAAAGAAGCAATCTTATTTCAAGTTCTGAAGTTACTTAAGACAATTTAATAACATCCTTTTTAATAAAAGGAACAACGTTAAAGAGGACAATTCAGGATTTATGAATGCCATCTTTGTACAAAACGTCACAGGAGAGGAGATTACATTACAACAGAGTTCACAGAAGCTGAGAGACTGCATGTGAAATATGAATTACATGAATTCAAAAGGTCTTTAGTAATACATTCCACTGAATCTTTGTTAGTTATTTCTGGCAGCTTACCTGAATTGAGTTGAACCCACTGTACTCCCTAGCAAGCTCCAACAGGGGAACCAGTGCTTGCAGTAAGAGGGTGGTACCACATGTCTTCAAAATGAAACGTCTCTTGGAGACAAACATGCTACTCTCACTGAAAAAACAAAGCCTTACATTAAAAACGTATTTGTGGTTTAGATTTTTGCAGCACCCTCAGCAAATTCAAGTATATGCATATTAAACTATGTTCAAAAAAACACATTTGAGGCCGGATTTTGAAAGCAATTAGATTTCAGTTCACTCCCAGTAGTGTCAAACTTACCAATGCTAATACATAGTACTAACATACAAAGTCAGCTACTACAACAGCCCATGCACCTCTATAGGACAAATCAGAGTAAAACTTCAGCCAAGATTTTCAGCAGTGACTAGTTATTTTGGGGTGCCCAGCTTAACACATTAAAGGGGCCCCTTCATTTCCCATTGTGGATGCTCAATTTCTTGAAAGCCTTGATTTTTCAGAAAAGCCAGGAACAATCTGAAAATCAGATTTAAGATGTTAGCTTAAAAACCCCTAAGTCATTAATCACTTTTGGAAACTTTGGCCTGAGACGTCAATAAGAAATCATGATCCATTAGTACAAGTGTAGAATTAGTTTCCACAATCATGAATAATTAATATTCTTTTTCTGAATAAAGTAGTATCAGAAAAGCAGCAGCTTGACAAAATACTGTTTACTTGCTGAGACTGCATTTGAAAAAAGCATTTTAACAAACAGGCAAGCATTCATTTATTACAAGTATTCCCAAATAGAGGCCTTCTTAGTTCAGCATAATATATCTTGATTAGTAAATACAGCAATTAGAAAACAAAGTCAGAATTCATGTGAAAATTTGCCTGTAAATCTCAATGACTGTTTGAATTTGAATGATCAGATCCATAATGCTCATGTTTTAATCCTTCATTTCAGATTAGGTTAGTTCAACCACTATCTAATACAACAAATTAATTTCTTTAGCTAAAAGAAAGCAACTCTTTTTGCCTGAGTGCTATTTTTTGGGATACTTTGTTGGTTTCTTTACTCACTATTACAGTGAACTAGCCAATTAGCCTGTCATAAGACAGGATTTTCAGGTACAGGCAGTCCCCGGGTTATGTACAAGATAGGGACTGTAGGTTTGTTCTTAAGTTGAATCTGTATGTAAGTCGGAACTGGCGTCCAGATTTAGACACTGCTGAAACTGACCGCCAGTTCTGACTTACATACAGAATCAACTTAAGAACCCCAGGCGTCCCCAAAGCAGCTGCTGCTGAAACTGATCAGCAGCTGATTCCAGGAAGCCCGGGGCAGAGCAACTCTGCCTGGGGCTTCCTGTAGTCAGCGCTGGTCAGTTTCAGCAGAAGCTGACTTGGGGACGCCTGGGGCAGAGCAGCTGGGGTGCTGCTGGGTTGCTCTAGTAGCGCTGCTCCTGGGTGCTACTGGACCAACCTAGCAGCACCCCATCTGCTCTGCCCCAGGCATCCTGATTCAGCCGCTGCTGAAAATGACCAGCAGCGGCTGAATCAGGACCAGAGCCACGGGGAAGCCTCGGGGAAGCCAGCAGCGGACCACCCCCGA